CGGGCCCCCCTCCCTCCGCCTGCGCCTCCGTCCTCCCCCTTCCCGGCCTCGGCTCACCTAGCGGCCGGGCGCCGGGAGCTGGGAAGTTGCACAATCCGCTCCCCGCGCCCCCGGCCCGCCAGGCGGGGTGCACGGCGGGGCGCTCCCTGGCTGCGCGCGGAACCCGGCCTCTGGCAGAGAGCGACTGCAGACTCGGGCTGCGTGGGGCGGCGCGGGCGGCGCGGCTGCCTAAAAAGGCATGCCTCTCCCCGGCCGCCGCCTGCCGCCAGCCCTAGTTCCTCCGGGGGTTACCTGCACCGGCACCGAGTGGGGCAGCCGGCGGGCACGCAGGTCCCGCGGGCGGCAGGGATGCAAAAATGTGAACAGGCTGTGAGTGGCGGGCAGGAGAGTCTGGGCGCCTGGCCCCGCGGAAGTGAGTCTTTGTGTTCCCCGCTTGAACACACCCTCCCGCCGCGCCGCAGGCCGGGCTACCTGCGCAGGAGGCAGCGCCCGCGAGCCGGCCGGGTGGGGCGCAGGGAAGCGCAACATCCTCCCGGGCCCGCTGGCTCCCTTTGTTCTTCCCGCGCGACCGCCAGGTCCTTGCTCCCGGGAGCTTCTCCGGGGCGCCCCGGGGTCGGAATTGGACTTGGAGACCAGCCACCTTCCACTTGCGAAGGGCAGCCCACCAAGTCCGGGGAAGGAATTCCGTAGAGGCCCCCACCTACCCGCCCCTCCCCACCGCCGGCCCCTGTCCCCGAAGGATGGGAAAGTTCTCGGGACCGTGGCGCCCCCAGGCTGCTCGCTGGGCGCGTGGAGCGGGTGGCGACTGTGGGCCCGGCAGCTGGAACCGGTGGGTGGGGCCGCCGGGAGCCGCAGATCGGGTGTCCGTCTGCTCGCGTGCGGAATGTCCATTTGTCACCGCGGCCCTCTTGCCCTTCCCGGGCGGCCGCAGCTGGTCCCGGGACCCGAGACGGCGCCGCCCTTTGTTTGCTGATAAAAACGCTCCTTTGAACTTCAACGTGGCTCTCCGCGTGCGTGCGGTGGCGCTGGGTCCCCGCTGCCCCCTCCATGGTTCCTCTCCCTGACCGACAGCGGTACAAGTGTGGGGGAGCCCCCAAGTCGAGCTAGGTTGAGGTGGGTGATATTACCACATAGTGCCCATCCATCCCAGAGGGACGAGTTACCCGCTGTCCTCTCCATCCCAGGTCCCTGCAGGGGCTAATAACATTTTGAAGACACAAAGCCTTCACTAAATATACCATTTTAAAATTTGTATTACGTTCATTTAACTAATTAAGGATTTTTAGAATAAAACAATTACCTAGATAGCCAATTCATTCAGTATTCTCAAGTGCCTACTGTGTGCTGGGGACTTACTGTGTGCTGGGGACTCCGGGTCCAGCAGCAGACATGTAAAGGTGAATAAAATCTCTTTCCTACCCTCAAAAGGCTTGCAGAAATTTAAAACTTCACGGGCCTTCCAACTAAAACTGGGCAAAATGCATTGTACTCAATCAAAAGCATGGGTCAAAAAAGCTTACTCAGTATTGCCCCTGTTATGCTAATGGTTTCTGACACCAGGAATTGTCCAGAACTGCATGAAGGGATAATGTGTCACAGGATTTAACAACAACGAAGACTATATTCCACTAATGTGAAATATTATAGTGGGGCTAAAAGTAAGTTTAAAAAGGGGGGGGGGACACGATAGAGTCCAGTGGCTTGTGGGGTGGGGGGAGGAAGAAATGCAAGGGGGAAAGTAACCCCCTTTCAACTGAGAGGCCTCAGAGCAGTCACCAACTGTGGACCTTGGTTTTCTCTTCTGTGTAAGGCATATAATGGTACCTACCTTCAAGGTTCCTTGTAAGAAGTAGAGATCGGGGTTAAAAGTGTCTCCCTTAGTGCTTGGAATCTGATGCTTAATAAATTGTAGTAATTAATAAATAATAGTGTTAAAGCACTTTAATGGTGAATGAAAAAGTAATTTGTATATACTTGTTGTAGTGTATTTGTATTTTATATACTTCTTGTTTCTTTGCATGAATGCTGCAAAAGTTGATATGTTGACTACCCTAAAGAAATCTTAATGAGAAGTTAAATAAGAGTGGCCAAATAACAATTAACTTGATGCTTGTAGAAAAATTACCACCTGCGGGTGCCTGGGTGGCTCAGACGGTTAAGCGTCTGCCTTCGGCTCAGGTCATGATCCCAGGGTCCTGGGATCGAGTCCCGCATCGGGCTCCCTGCTCCTTGGGAGCCTGCTTCTCCCTCTGCTTCTCTCTCTCTCTCATGAATAAATAAATAAAAATCTTTAAAAAAAAAAAAAAGAAAAATTACCACCTGAAGGCAAATATGCAAATCATTGTTGTAAAATTGTAAGTGGATTGAGTTTATTATTTATGATTGGGGGTAGTAAATGAAGTGGTACTGAAGTGGCTTAATCTATTGCTTCCTGAAGAAATCAGAAAGCCAGTTGATGTGCATAAAGCTATCAGTCGATGATTATATCTGTCGAAGTGTAATGGTAAATAAAATATTTTGACATCCTTTAGTTTAATTGCTTAGAGGAATGCCAAATAGGAGCAGAATATTAATGTTTTTTATGAGTCTACCAATTTGTAAGACATTCCTGGGCTGTTCTGGCACTTTAATATCCCTTTCCTTAAACAAAACAAACCACCACAACAACAAAAAACTAAACTTATTCCTCCAAATAAGAAAATTCCTGCATCAGAAACCTGCTTGCTCTTATCCATTTGCTCATAATAACTTCAATTTCCTTTTCTGTTTTTAAACTCAGGGCTCCCCCACTGACCCATCCACTGTTGACCCATGCTGGGCTATGTTTCACAGGAGACATAAGGAAAACAGAAGGACTGTTTTCAGGAACTTCTTATTGGTTAGCAGTCAAATCAGGAGGCTCAGTGAATCTCCCAGCTGAGAAGTATTTGAGATTGGGTAGGAACTGAAAAGTAAATATTTCCTAACTGTACCATTGCTGAATCTGGGGTATTTGTTTTAACTTAAGTACTGTTCATAGAAAATATTTCTCTCCTGTTTATTTTGCCATTCAGCTGCGACAGTAAACCCACTGATTCCTTTACAGATGGGGAAACTGAGGTTGACCTTTTTTTTTTTTTTTTAGGACCGTTTTCTCTAAGCATTTTCTCTTCTGCTTCTGACTTACTTGTGATTGCCATTCTGTAGAATGCATTGAGCACCTCAAGGAGGAAAATCACCTATAGATGCATTCTTCATATTTAATCAGTGAAGCAAATCTGTATGTGGTCAGTGTAAAAAAAGAATTTCAGATACTCATTCATTTGGAGCCCATTATACAATGCTAAGATCAGGAAGAAACATTTGTTTTCTAGCCAACCTACAGATTTTTTTTAATTTAATTAATTTACTGTTTAGAAATGTTAATAAGGAAACAGACCAGTATGAAGAAGAAACAACCTTGGGTATTTGGATGCGTGTAAAGGTCAGAATCCTGGGCATGCAGGAGGACCACCAGCACCCCTCACCCCCCAACACACAGCATTCCTTCAATATTTGCAGATGGAGAGAGAAGAAAAATCTTTGCTAGCTTAAGAAAGGTGTCTTTGCAGCATCAGATAGAGAAGGGAGGACACAAATGCAATTGGTTGCCCTTAGGTTTGCCCCATCCACAGTGCGCACCACTTGGAGCCCATCCTTGGGCTCCAGGCAAGGTGACTGAGCTGGCCTCAGGGCGGGGTCAAGGGGTCACAACCTGACCTCTCATAGCCTTTCAGACAGAGCAGGATGAAAAATGTCAGGGTGGGAAAGTTTTCTTTTCCTAAACGTTTCCTTGCTATCTAAAGGAAAGACTGAAAGCCAGGGCTTGACTTCCGACCTTGTCACCTTAGTGAAGTTGGTTGAACTTTCTGTACCTCAATTACCTCACCAACAAGACTGATTAACCCATTTCACAGTTATCCACAAGAATTGGAGCTCATGTCACAAGCTTAGAAACATTCCCAACGGTACAGCACTTCACAGTTTATGTGCAGGATTTCCTGTCAGTTATCTCATTGGATTTTCCACAACTCTGAATGACGAAGGGAGGGTATGAAGGCACACAGAGAGGTGGCCCTGTCACTTCTTGATTCTGTGGTAGTAAGAATACGTAGTCACAAAAATTTTAGAGCCTATGTTCTATGTTCTCTGTAAGTATTAACTCATGTAATCCTTATAGCAAGGGTTTTAAAACCTTTTTTCATTTTTAACCTTTTATTTTGAAACAATTTCAGACTTACAGGAAAATTGGCTAAATAATACGTCCCCCCACCATTCCCCACATATTGACACTTTACTGTGTTTGCTTTATCATTCCTTTACCTTCTACTTGTTTTTTCCTGAGCTGTTGAAGAGTACATTGCATACCTCATGGTTCTTTGACACCTAAATACTTCCCTTTATTTTCCTAAGAACAGGGAC